AGCTGACCCATGTTCAATCCCTGACCCGCCTTCTGTTCCCCAAAACCCTGCCAAGAGTGATTCCTGAGTAATGGGCCAATTACAGTAAGTCCTGAGCACTGCTGGGTGTGGCCCAAAAACAAAAATAAGAACCATAATAAAAAACTAAAGGGAGTAGAGACACAATTCAGTGGGGAGGGCATTTGTCTTGCATGCAGCCAACCCAGGATCCCATATGGTCCCCACGTCCCACTAGGTGTGATTCCTGAATGCAGAGCCAGGAGTATGCCCTGAGCATCGCTGCGTGTGGCTTGAAAAGCAACAAATAAATAAAGTGAAATAACCCAAAATCTGAGCCAAAAAAGACAGCTCCAAGAGCTAGAGTATCTGCCTGCACATGGGGGCTCCAGCACATGTCCCCCAGGCACCACCAGGAGCAACGCCCGCGCACTGCTGGCTGCGATTCAAACCTCCCCCAAAATAAAGTCAACTTCTTCAGTCACTTGTTTTCAACAGAAACTGTCTATTGGTTTGTTTTGTTCAAACCTCCTGAAGAGTCCTGTTTTTAAAGAATTTCTGATGAGTTTCATATTCACCTATCCAAATTCTGGTAAAAAATAAAGCTGCTTGGGACGGGCCAGAGAGAGAGAGCACAGCAGATAAGCCGCCCAGATTCCATCCCAGGCACTCCGTAAGGTTCCCCGAGCTCCACCAGAAGTGACCCCTGGTGCAGAGCCAGGGGTAATGGCATGAGCACTGCTGGATGTGATCCCAAAACTAACAATAATTAAAAAATGAAGATTCAGGGGCCAAAGAGATCAAATGGGGAGCTAACGTGCCTTGTATGTGATTCCAGATCAATCCCTACCACCACTCTGGTAACTTGAGTACCACCAGGAGTGATCTCTGAGCACAAAACCAGGAGTAAACCCTTTGCACAGCTGGGTTTACTAAAAACACCCTAAATAAATAAGATATACTCCTATCTCAGACAGGTGGAAAAGTATTAACAATCATTATTCCTTTATTGTACTGACAGAAGAAACCTGCTTTTATTGTTTTTTGGGGTTTTGTTTGTTCTGGTGAAACAAATAGTGGGGTTATTTTTTTGCTTTTTGGGGTTGGCCTTTGGGCCACACCCAGCAATGCTCAGAGATTACTCCTGGGGTGCTGGGGATCAAACGAGGGTCAGCCATGAGCAAGGCCAACACTACCCATGTACTATCAGTGCCCAAACAGTTTCTATTGAAACTTATTTAGAGCACTGTGAGGAGAGGGAAAAAGAACTACATGTTAAAGAGAGAACATGGGCTTCTCCAGGTAGAAAAAGTCAGCAAAGACACCTTGAGACAAGCAACAGAGGGACCTGCTCAAGGGAGAACAGGGCGAACAGGGCTGGAGGAACAAGCAGAAGCTGTCTTACATTCAAAGACAAAAGAGAGGGCCAGAGGGCCAGCACAGCAGAGAGGGTGCTTGCCCTGCACACAGCTGACCACGGTTTGATCCCTGGCACCACATACGGTCCACCAGGAGTGATCCGCTAGCACAGAGCCAGGCAGGAGCAAGCCCTGGACACAGGCAGGTGTGGCCCAAAAACAAACCGAAAAGAGAAAAACGGGGCCAGAGAGATAATATAGGGATTTAGGGGGCTACAGCAGGGAAGGTGTTTGCCTTGAACACGGCTGACCCAGGTTCCATCCCCGGCGTCCCTTAGGGTCACACAAGCAACGCCAGGAATAATTTCAGAGTGCAGTAATCCCTGAGCATCGGTGAGTGTGACCCAAGAAAGGCAAAAAAAGAAAACCAGAAGACAAAAAAAATAAAAACAGGGATTTAGGGATTTGCCTTGTACACAGCCCCAGTTCGATCACTTGGCACCACCTATGACATCCCAAGCACACCTCTAGGAATGACCCCGGAGAACAGAACCAGGAAAAAGCCCAGCACACAGCTGGTTGTGTCCCCAGTGCCCTAAAGAGGAAATAAAAAAAGGTTTGTCCATGATTCAAGCATGTCTCGTTTTTCCTAAAATGGAAACCAGGAAGATTTCTGAGCCACCCCAGTGGTGTGCGGGCTAGTCCCAGCTCAGTGCTCAGTGATGACCCCTTGCTACCTACACACCATCAGTAATTCGCAAATCTCTTCCTTAAATTTGGAGTTTTTGGGGTTTTCTGGTTTTTTATTTTTTGGTGTGGAAAGTGGGCCACATCCAGCAATGCTCAGGGGATACTCCTGGCTCTGCCCTCGGGAATTACTCCTAGAGGTGCTCAGGAAACCATATGGGGCGCCTGGGATCAAACCAAGGTCAACAGCATGCAAGGCAAATGCCCTATCCACTGTCCTATCGTTCTAGTCACCCTTTAGATTTTAAATCAAATGAGACCACTCCATTAAAAATCACTAGGGGGACAGGACAGATAATGAAATTTTAGTTTTTCTTTTTTGGTTTTTGGGTCACACCCAGTGATGCTCAGGGGTGACTCTGGACTCTGCACCCAGGATTATTTCTGGCAGTGCTGGGGAATCATATGGGATGTCTGGGATTGAACCTGGGTAGGTACATGCAACAGAGAGATAATGCAAAAATTATAACACTGGGGGCTGGAGCGATAGCACAGTGAGTAGGGCGTTTGCCTTGCACGCGGCCAACCCGGATTCAATTCCCAGCATCCTATATGGTCCCCCAGCACTGCCAGGAATAATTCCTGAGTGCATGAGCCAGGAGTAACCCCTGAGCATCGCCGGGTGTGACCCCCCCCCAAAAAAATTACAACACTTGCCTACCCTGCAACTGAGGTCCCAATATTGGCTCAAACCCTGGCACTGTGATCCCCCAGAATGACCAGGTGAGTCCCCTAAGCAGAGTCAGGTTTGCTCCTACCCCCACCAAAAAAAAAAAGAAAAAATCACTAGCAAATATAAAACTCCACAACTTTTAGTGATACCAAGGAATGTGACTCGCTCAAACTGACAAAACAGTTCCAGGGTCAGGAATATGGATTATTTTTAAGCAGATATCTTGCATATCAGACCCTGGATTCAATTCCCTGTATTGCTGAAAATCAAAAACAAAAAAACAGGGTTTGAAATTATTTCACACCAATTAAGATTCCTTTCTGGATTAAAACACAAAATATAAATACAAAGACCCTATTAACTTGCAGGAAGACGAAGAAGAACATTTGCAATTTTGGAATTTTTAAATGGCAGACGTCTTAGCAAATTTATGCTGGTATCTATTTCACTGGAAACGCAAGAACAAGGACAGAAAGTACAGCGGGCAGGGTCTTGCCTGGCACACAGCTGACCAGGGTGCAACATCACCGCCCCCCTCAACCCCCAGCACACCATATGGTCCTCTGAGCACTGCCAAGAGTGGTCCCTGAGTGCAGAGGCAGAAGTATGCCCTAGCACCGCCTGGCGCGGCCCAAAAAAACAAACAAGGAAAAAAAGCAAGAATACGGATCAAAATGTAATCCTGTGACATTTACTATCCCAAATAAGTAACACTAAGCAAGTCGAGCTCATTACTATCGATGCAAAGCTAGACCCCAGTATTTAAAAGAATTTTGTAAACCTGGTTGTTAGCATCAAATATGACCTTGCCTCACATCCATATATCCAAACAAAGCTTTCCAAACTCACATAACCACAATGTATCAACGACTGACAGTGTTACTAAAATATCTGTGCACGTTGGTTTTTTCATGCAAGGGGACACTTGGGGACAATCTCTGCTTTACGCCTGTGTATTAAAACAAAGATGACTTGACCTACAAAATGAAGATAGGGTCAACTGTAACCAAAAAACAGTATGCTTCCCCTGGTGGCCAAGCAAGGAATGGGGAAGGCAAGCTTTAAAGAGAAAAAGCCTCCTCTCCGGTTCCATTCAGTAGCTCCATAAACGAGAAGTGAGAACCAAAAAAGGAAGACGTGGAAGGGGAACCTATCCAAAAGACTAAGAAGAGTTTAAAAGGACCACAGACGTGAGCGCTCAACAACACAAACTAAGCTTACGATCGACAGGCGAAAACTCAGGCGACTACGGGAAAGGGTTATTTCCAGGGAGCACACTTGGGGATCCCTGCGCATCTTCCCTTCAAAGAACATCCGGAGTTGAGTTACTTTCATACCAGTTCTAAAAGCTATCGCCCTCCTCAAGGACGGGATCCGTGCAATTCCCTGCAGACGTGCTTTCACCGAGGACCAGCAGGTATGCACCTACTTTCCCAAGCCGGTGGTGTAACCTACATCGAGAAGCTCCGGCTCAAAGTCCTCCAGGCAGGACTGTGAACGCCAGTCCTACAAGATTCTCCTTCGAATTTCCCCGGACCAAAGCGGCGTCCCCTCTCTCTCTCTCTCTCTCTCCCACATTACCTCCGCCAGCCAGCAACCTTCACCGGCAGCCTCACGGACGGACCAGAATCTCGAGCACTCAAATCTGACCATTTCCTTTGTCTGGTGGGATTTTCCCCCCCGTCTGATGCCCCTTTAGATTCGCCTCCACCGAGAAAAGCAGCAAGGAAAGTAAACGCGCCGCCCTCGGGGGTCGGTGTCCCTGGGGGTGCCCATCCCCCGGGATGGTTGCGGGTCCCAGGCTTGCACCGCCGCTTCCTTCCAGAAAGAAGAAAAAAAGAAGAAAAAAACCGCACGCGCTGTTCGAGACGGGTCCCGGGCGCGGGGGGCCCGGTCCACCTTCCCGCGGGGCCGCCCGGCAGCGGCGCCCGGGGACAGCCCCGGGCGGGTCCGGGGCGCTCGCGGGCGCCGCCGCCTCTCCGGCACGGCACGGCACCTCCCTCGTGGGGACCCCGGCCCCCGCCCGGGCGCGAGCAGGCGTGGCCGGCCCGGGGGGCGCCCGCGGCACCCCCGTCCCGCGCGCGGCGGGGCGGGGCGGGGCGCCGGGCGGGCGGGCGGGGCGGGGGTCCCCCGCGGGCCGCCGCCGCCGCACGCGCCGCCAGCGAAGTTGTCCCGGGGCCCTCGGGCCGCCCGGCCGCGCCCCCGCCCGCCCGCGCGCCACTCACCTGGGTCGAAGTCGGGCACGAGCGCCTGGTACTGGGGTCCCACCCGCATGCCGCCGCCACCTGCGGGGAGAGGGGGCGGTCAGCGCGCGCGGGCGCGGCGGGGGCGCGGGGGCGGCGGCCACCTACCGTGCTCCTCGTCGCTCGACGAGCCCGAGCTGCCTTCTTCCCAGGAGTTGCTGCTGCTGTTGCCGTTGGGCGCCGCCGCCGCCAAACTTTTATTCTGCCCATGATTGGGGGCGGCGGCGGCGGCGGCGGCGGCGGCCGAGGAGGAGGCGGCCGAGGCGGCGGCGGCCGAGGAGGAGGCGGCGGAGGCGGCGGCGGCGGCCGAGGCGGCCGAGGCGGCGGCGGCGGCGGCCGAGGCGGCGGCGGCGCTGGCCGAGGCGGCCGCGTTGTTCCTGCCTCGCCGCTTCCCGGACACCTCGGGGCCCTTCTCCACCATGGCCGGCATCGGCGGGGGCCCGGGCCGGGGCCGGGGCCGGGGCCGGGGCCGGGGCCGGGCGCGGCGGCGAGCGCCCGCGGCCGCTGAGGAGGGGGCGCCGGCGGGGGGCGGGGGGCTCGGGGCCGGGCGCGCGGCGGCGGCGGGCGCGACTCGGGGCTGGGGGCGGCCCTGCCGGGCGCTGCGCGGAGCCGCTCCGGGCCCCCCGCGCCGAGCCGAGCGCAACTTTGCTCTCCGCGCCGCCCGCACTTGACTGGCTCCAACTACTCGGGAGCCGCGGGCGGGAGGGGAGGGGGCGGGGCCTGGCCGCCGCGGGGGCCGCGCGCAGCCCAACCCGACGGCGCCGGGCCCCGCCCCCCGCGCGCTCCCATTGGGCCCGGCGGCCGGCGGCCGGCCGGCGGCGCCCGGGTTGGCCGGGCGCGCCCGTCAATCGCGGCGAGCGGGGCGGGAGCGCGGCCAGGGGGCGGCGCCGGGCTTCCGTTGGCCAGGTTCGGTTGACGCGTATCGGCCGCTGTACGTGGTTTGGGGCTTGCCATCTCTCTCCGCCCCAGGATCCATCTCTGCGAGCCCCGGCGCGGAGTTCGCGGCCTCCCCCGCCCCCTCCCCCCGCCCGCGCGCCCCCGCCCCCGCCGGCGTGCACCCCCGGCGGCGCGGGCCCCCACGTGCCCCGGAGGCCCCGCCGCGAGTCCCCCGCAGCCTCTGAAAGTAAAACCTGCCCGACGCGACCACGCAAACCGAACGCCAGGTCGGGACTACTTTCCCCCTGCGCGGAGGATTACACGCCCCAGTTTGAATGGGTTCGATACAAAGAGGGGAAACTAATTGGGAGAAACTAATTGCACCCCCACCTTCCCCGAGGGGAGGCGAGGGCGCGCTCGCCGCCGGGGCTGTCGTGGGACCCGGGGACCGGGCTCCGAGCTGGCGGTCTCCCCTGAAAGTGAGGGAAGCGGCGTGGGAGCTCGGGGGAGCTTTCTGCTAATTGGAGGGTGGGGGGCGCGGAGCGCGGAGGTGGGAAGTGACCGCAGTTGCCCCGAGTTGCGGGGCGCCGGGAGACCGGAGGGGGGTCCCCGGGGGGCCGCCGGCTGGGCGCAGGAGCCTTGGCACGGGGTCCCAGCCACCCCCATGGCCGTGGAGAGGCCGGCCCAGGGGTGGCTCGGGGATGGGGGGAAGGGAGCGTTGGCAGATCTGCGGGGGGGGGGGTCTTGCTGGACGGGGTGGGGGCCAGCACGCGGAAAGGGGAAGGAGCTATTTTCATCCCAAGCCCCGGGTGGAGGAAGAGGGTCAACTTCCTCCGAGACAGGAGCCACTTTTCCGGGTCTGCTGCCCGCCTGCCTCCCCCACTCCACCCCGCAGCGGCACCGCACCGGAGCGGGAGCAGGACCCGACCTGTCACAGCCCTGGCCGCGAGAGTGACCCCCGCCGCCCAGCTCGGGCTGCTCGAAGGTTGGGGGCGGGGGGGGGGTGAGGTTGACACCCGTAGAAGTCCATCATGTAATCCCCTCCCCCCACCGACTCCCCAGGCAGCCTCGGGAGAGAGAGAGGGTCTGTAAATGAACAAATTTTCGGGCGGCCGGTGGCTATTTTTCTCTTAAGTTACTTCGAACCTGAGCTTAATATGGGACAGTTTACACCAGCTCAGGATATAAATAGCTCACAAGGAGAAATCTGGAGTTTTATGATTTCAGAGCCTGAATAAATAAGCCGTGGGTGCTCTGCCACATTTTCCGCAGCATGAACCATCATTATTAACTTGAACCAAGTGGCCACGTTTTTTAAAATGGACTTCAGGAAGCGGAGCCCCCAGCAGAGACACCCCACTTACTAACTGAACCTCAGAGTTCAGGGTCACAGTTTCTGGACCCTTCCCCGGTGGACAGGCGCTGGCCAGGAGAACACTCCCCTGCCCCCAGCCATTGGCCCATGTAGGGTACAGAGAGCAGAGCCGAGGTGAGGCCCCATCGGTAGCATTTCAAGAACCTCCACCTGGCCACAGGCAGTGACTCATCTGGCCGTGAGCACTGCGGGAAGAATGAGTTTTGAGAACTCTGCCGTGCTTACTGCGAGCTGCTGCCGCCAGACTCGGACAAGATTATCCTCAAGGGCATAATGGTGATACTGAGTCATTTATTACGGCAGCAGAAACAGTGGAGCAGATGGGGGTCACCAAACCCCGAGTTTAGGGCTATTTCCTGGCCAGGTTCTGATGGGGCATCACTGGACCCCTCCAACTGTTCATTTTTCCCCCAGTGATCCTCTCCACTGGAGTGATAGCACAGTGGGTAGGGCCTTTGCCTTGCAACAGGGCTGACCTGGCCCACGCAGGTTCGATTCCTCCGCCCCTCTTGGAGAGCCTGGCAAGCTACTGAGAGTATTTCACCCGCATGGCAAAGCCTGGCAAGCTCCCCTTGACATATTCGATATGCCAAACACAGTAACAACAAGTCTCACAATGGAGAAGTTACTGCGCCCGCTCGAGCAAATCGATGAACAACGGGAGGACAGTGCAGTGCTACAGATCCTCTCCACTTCCGCTATCAAAGCATAGATCAGTGGGACTGGAGCAATAGCACAGCGGGTAGGGCGTTTGCCTTGCACGCAGCTGACTCATGTTCGATTCCCAGCATCCCATATGGTCCCCCAAGCACCACCAGGAGTAATTCCTGAATGCATGAGCCAGGAGTAACCCCTGAGCATCACCGAGTCTGACCCAAAAAGCCAAAAAAAAAAAAAAAAAGCATAGATAAGCAGCTCCTTCCTGGCCGAGTGAATTTGTATAGAGTCTGTCTTCCTTCTGCCATGGAAGCCCCCATTCCTACCCCTACCTGTTGGTAGCCTGCTCTGCCGTTTCCCAGTGACACCCCGCACTGCTCTCTTCTCCCCCACCAACTTTTCTACCTCCCCAACCCGTGGCCTCACCGCTTTTGTGATATTGCCCGTGAGTTTCTCCCAAGGGGAAGACACCGACCTTGCTCCTGGGCCCCTGGCAACCTGTTGCCCTCCCCTGCCCGCCCTTGTCGACACCCGCCTTCTCAGGCTCCTCACCCCAGCGCCTCGGCCTCTGTGCAGCCCACTGCAGAAGCCATTTTTTGGAGGCACATACAGATGCTCTCCGCACCTTGGCCTCCGGTTCCCCTGCCAGGAGCTGCCCCAGCGCTCAGGCGGCACTGCTCACCTGATTCACCCACCCCGCATTTTTTCTCCCTGCCCTCCTTCCAACCTGTAACTAGGGGATTCTGGCAAAAGAAACCCCAAAAAGATCGCTGGATGGAGCCAGAGCAACAGCACAGCGGGAAGGGTGTTTGTTTTGCACGCGGCCGACCCGGGTTCGATCCTCGGCATCCCACATGGTCCTTGAGCCCCAACAGGCGTCATTTCTGAGCACAGAGCCAGGAGTAACAGCTGAGCATCACCCGGTGTGACCCAAAATAGTCACTGGTCCCCTTTCCTGTGCCCAATGCACTGCAGGTGTTGAATAATGCGTTGGCGGAAAAGAAGCGGGCCTGAGCACTGAGGAGGAAGAGAAAGCCCAGTTTGCACTGAGGGCCGGGTTCCTGATGCGAGCACTGCGCAGAGGGGAGCGGGCCCAGGACCCTCGCCCCTCCCCCCCACCGGGGCAGTCACTCGCTTAACAGCCTCCGGCCAATCAGGTCCGTCGCCCACTGCGGAGGTGATTGGCTGGCGTCGGGCCACGTGACCCCAACAAGCCAATCAGGTGTCCGGAGATTTCTCTGAGGCGTCCTCCCCTGAAGTGTAGAATGCAGGGCCAGGGCTGGAGTGGGTGCCCCGCGAGGGTCACGATCAGCAGAGACAGTACAGCGCAGCCGTGTGCTGCGTGAGCCCAAGACGGATCCTGGCTTGACCAATCTGATCTGAAAAAAGGGATCAAGTTTGCAGTAGAGGGGTCTGAGCGGTACTACAGCAGTAAGGGGTTTGCCCTGCACACAGCCAGCCCAGGTTTTCGATCCCTGACACCCCATATGGCCCCCTGAACACCACCAGGATTGATCCCTGGGCACAGAACCAAAAGTAAGCCCTTGAGCATCACCAGGTGTGGCCCCCAAACAAGCAAATGCCTGCATTAGATCCTGGCCTTTCAAAGTTGGTGCCCAGCGAGATGGTTCATAGGGTACATGCTTTGCCTGAACACTGGAGGGTGTCACCCAGAAACAAAACCCAAAAAAAGGTTTTTTGGCATTTTTTTTTTTTTTGCATCACACCCGGCGATGCTCAGGGGTTACTCCTGGCTTTGCACTCAGGAATCACGCTTGGCGATGCTCGAGGGACCATATGGGATGCTGAGAATCGAACCCAGGTCGTTCACGTGCAAGGCAAACGCCCTACCCGCTGTGCTATAGCTCCAGCCCCCAAAAAATAGGTATTATTTTATTATTTTTAAATTTTGACTTGGATGGGGCAGGAGAGATAGAGCCCATTGTGACCCCCCCCCCCAAAATAAAATAAAATAATGGTGGCAGAGTTAGCTCAACGGATGAGCTGCATTGCATGTGTTTTATTAGTTTGGGCCACACTCAGCAGTACTCAGAACTTACTCCTGCTTCTGATCTCTCAGAGATCACTCCTGGGGATGCTCTTGGGACCGTATATGGTGCTGGGGATGGAACCCATGACTGCCGGGAGCAAGGCAAACACCCTCCCAGCCAGACTATCACTCCAGCACTTGGAACCTGGATTGGATCCTCCCAGACTGAATAACCCCCAAAACACCTCTAGAAGAGACCCCCCCAGCACAGAACTGGGAGTAGCCCCTGAGGCATGGTCAAAAAAAAAATAAATAAAGGGGGCTGGAGTGATAGCACCAGGTGGGACATTTGCCTTGCATGCGGCCAACCCGGGTTCGAATCCCAGCATCCCATACGGTTCCCTGAGCACCGCCAGGAGTGATTCCTAAGTGCAGAGCCAGGAGTTAACCCCTGTGCATCACCGGGTGTGAGCCAAAAAGCAAAAAATAAAAATAAATAAAATAAACAATGATTTAAAAGTTATTGGAGTGA